TTTTTTCATATAATTATGTCGTAGATTGAGTCAATTTCTGTAGAAACATAACTATCTAACTGTGGGTTAGTACCCGACCGAAACTAACACAATGTTAGTGGTGGTACAGCGGTAACGTGTGATATCTATCACCGTTGTCAGTATTGTCAGGGGTTCGAGTCCTCCTTCTCTCGGACACACGTTAGAAGGGTATATTATCGAGCGTGACTCGACCATCACAGGTTTCCTCCTGTACTAACGTTTGAGAAATAAAGTTCATAGCAATGTAACTCAACGAATCAACTGACCGAACGGCTAGTAAGCTGATAATTTTGGTTAAATGATAAATAATAATGAAAAAATACCAATCAGTGAAGGAAAGAAACACCAGCAGCTATTTAACAAATTATATTCAGCTACAACAATAATCTAATACTTAGGTTAAACCAATGTGATGATATAGTATTTTTTTTTTTTACAATTACCAGATCAGCTGATCGACCGTTCACTACAACCCCGGAGTCTAACCGACCGACCGCTATGTAGCCTCTAGTATTTCCCAATTGAACGCAGCCCTTGACTAAGTTGTCTTTCTTTGTCAATATTTTACTGTTCTGGTTCATTTAAGTTAGATATTTTAAATGCTTTTGTACGGAATTAAAGTTACTCTTTACCTTAGAAAAATACTTCTAAAAATTGTAGTTTGCGACTTTTTTCTGTTTTTCGTTTGAGGAAATGCGTCATCTTTGTAATAGAATTCGTTGTTATGTACAGTATTACTGTTGTAACAAATAAACTCGTTGAGCGTTACTACAGGTTAATAAATGTGTCATTAACAGTTATAAATGAAACTAAATACTGTAGATAAATACAACAGTTTTATCTGTTAGGTAATTTGTCTGGGTAGATAGTAATCAGTGCGTATCATTGTTAATTTCCATGATTTTTTTTATTCAGTATTATTTTTTCATGATAGTTACCAAAACATAAGTATGAAATTAAAAAGAGAATTGTTTTAAGTTCTAAACCAATGGCTGCTGTTAAGGCATTCATAACCCAACCTAGCATATCTAAAGCGATTTATTATACTTAATATATCTTATTTAACTTTACAACATACTTACCTCATATAAGCTAACTTATTTACCTGAACAAATGTATTTAATCTAACTGTTGAAGTAAGGGTCAACTTTTATTGATACAAAGGTGTCAAAATTAAGAAAATAATACCACCGAGGAAAACTTTTGCGATTTATTAAATTGACGACTTTAAATATACGAATTACAATATTTAGGGTGAATATTGGCTATTGTTGAGACAAAGAGCACCTTTTATTCAATAGATAAAGTTTCCAGATCCATTAATTATGGCGCCTATAGGGTGTGTATTGGCTGTTAAAGTAAGGATTAACTTTCCTCCTTTACACAAACTCTTAAAGTGCTGTAGATGATTTAGATGCAAAAGAAAGGTCGATTATTACGACTAAAACGCCTTAGTGAAGCTAGTGTTTTGTATCTTTATATTGTTTAGTGATAATTGTCTGTCATCCAGTGAGGTAAGTCTCCACCATTCCTTTGATTATGTTTCATTGAAGGTAAGTCCATTAATTATTTCAGTATGCTTCATTACTTACTTGAATGTTCTTTATTATTTTTTTAATATACTGTATCTTATTAATTATATGAGTGGGTCTTGTTGTTTTATTTGAATATAGGTTTCATTGGTGTAATTTTATTAAATTTTATATTATTTAAGTCTGTCTTCTTCCATACTCTAATGAGTGAAAGAAAGTGAATTTATTGGGAAACTATCTTATTTTAACATTTCTTTTTTTTTTAATTATTAATTTATAATTTCATTACTGTGAATTGTATTGAAGATATTATTTGGATGATATACAAGTTGAAAAGACTTTAGGAGCCATATTATCATAGATTACCGATTTTATTGAAGGAAAATATAAAGGGATAAAGAAACATATCAGAGGTTGGACGACTACTTCAAAACACATAACATAAACCTTTCGTCTTACTTAGTCATGTTAAATAGGTGTACTCAAGGCACTCACATGCATCGTGCCAATAACTCTCACCGAGGACATTAATGATGCTCTGACGAAGAAAAATCACGAGCAAACTGAAGATACTTCTGCTCAAAGGACGTTCCTTTAATCGAGTTACTTAGTGGAACACGAGTACGACAATTGTACTCACTGCTGAACACCTGTGGTATGTGGTGGAGAGGCTGTACCAAGGGATTATAAGGATCTATCGACCTTCATTATCAATTAGGAGATGAAAGGTCAATATGAGAGCATTGTTACACTGCTTGAGATTGCGTTAACCTTGCATTCTTCTTCTGCTCACAACTAGAGATCTTGCAGCGGTTTGAAGATTCAAGACCTATTTGTGCAGTACAAAAACGGGATAATGATTGCCATTTATCTTGTATTTCAATTAATCGTGAAGTTTTTGCAAACCTGTCTGTGAGAGATCCTTAACAACCATTTCTTTTAGAGAAAACACGGGAAATTTTTGAGTAGTGGAAAATAGTTTAAAAATGTATGAACATTGTGAACAGTGAACAGTAATTTTCCAATAAGTTACTGGTTACTTAAGCATCCGCACGAAGTAACTCACTGATAAAGGTATTGTTGTTTCTTGTTCCTTATTTCCCAAAATTTTAATGACACTTCTTTTGTCTTTTCTGTTTCACTTGCAGTTGTACTGAAACAAAATCCAATTAAACCATACACATTCTCAATATACGGTTGATGTAGCCATGCTATTTTTTCTATTCTTATATCTTGGAGCGTATAATTAAAATGTTCCAAATAATCTGGTTCATAATGCATTGTGATGTTTTCCTTTATGACTCGTTTCTTCAGTTATAGTGTCAGTGTATTTGTTGTTGTTGTATAACTATTAATGCAGATGTTATAGAATAACGGTATATGTCCCTCTTGTTGTAATAGACTCTTTGTATTGCCTGTAAATTCTAATGCTTGATGTGATAAGAGGTTGATAAATAGTATCTTTGTCACGCCCAATTGTCTTTGTCGGAAAATTTGGGCCTTTACCACCGACCCAAAAATTCAAGCTACGCAAGTAAATCACTGTAGGTGCGCGTGATCTAGGTATATGCTGATAACCAGTCTGTACTCACCCCTGAAGATGTGAATTACACGAACGCGCTTGGGAACTTCGTGTTTTCTTCTTTCCTTGTGGTTATCAGCATATATATATATATATATATATATATATATATATATATATATATATATATATATATATATATATATATATATATGCCTATGTCGTAACCTTTATGGGCGTTATATTGAATAATAATAAATTACATTTGTTTGGTGCCTTGCTCAGCGTTAATCTGCACACAACCATGATAAGAGGTACTGTATACCTGAGAGGCTACGACTTCTGATCAACCTGTAAATGAGCAAGGGTAACCGACCACTCTGTGAATAAAATGCTGACACTGCTTTAGGTTAACTTCATTTTATATAAAAAAAAAAACTGACAAAAATTGAACTGCACCTCGTGTCTAAGTAGGGACCTGTCACCGAGTAACTGTTATTTGTAAGTGATCCGTAAAATAAAACATGTTATCAAAACCATAATACATCAGTTAGTCTACTAGCTTAAGTCCGATACATGACTTTACCTCAGCTACCCACGCAAAGAACCAGCACATATATATATGAATAGTGATGACATCAGTCTTCGGGCAATGGGCAATGTAAGGCTGAAGCAGTAGCTTGGATGGTTACACAGTATAAATCTGTCACTTCATTTCATCGTTATGAGATCGTCAAGTAAAGTGTAAAATTTAATAACTGTTTACCAAATATCCCTTACACAATGGGAGAAGCATCTTATGTGATCATTATTTGCACAATTACACCATTAATATAGTATAGTATAGTACTCTATATTGTTGTAGCAGACAAAAAACCCGCATGTAAATACTGTACCATTTCTCCTCGTGCAATGCCACATTTCGTTATGGCTCAGGTTTGACTCAAAGTTGACATGAAAAGCATGACATGTCCACATGGTATGGCAGACAGGATGCAATAATATATTATTGGTTTATCTCAATGACGCTACAACTAAATGTAATGTAACATAATCCTTTGCCCAGCGCGCACAGATATCATCTTGCATTCATCTTCTTACATCACGTCATACCACTGCGCCTTAACGCTACCTCCCAGCAGACAGGTGGCAGGAGTCACTGACTTTCTATTTGGTCACTTGTGTTAAAACTACAGTATAACCAAACACGAAATGCTGACAATAGGTGGAACTGCTGCCGACTGAATTATCATTGTCATTCACATATTAATGTTGTTTATAATAAACATAGTTTGCCAACTTCCTGGATATGTTTTACTGCAAATTATACTGTATTAATAATTTTATGCTCATGTTAATACAATTAGATGCAGTACATCCTTTATTTATTGGGTCATGAAAGTCACCCCGTCATAAAAGGACACCATATTGAAAGACTCCATTAGTCCAAGATTACGTGAGAGTTGCATTAAAAAAAGACAGTAAATATCCACAAAGGCGCTCAAACCTGTAGCACAACCTGGGAATTCCACCCAAATGTGCGGTAACACATTCTAAGCATAATAAGTGTTTTGCCCTATGTATTTATATCCTCGTTTAATAAATATTTCATTGTAACTGCTCAAGTAACTCCTAAACCCCCTCCTATCTCTCTAGCCTCTGAACACCCTCCTCAACCCCCCCTTACACATCAGTCCAACGTCATCCCCCGGCGCCCCTCTCTCCCCCTTACTTGTGAATACTTGGGGATTCACGTGCCGATACTCTCCGGGTTCACACCTCACGGATAGGGTGGATTGACAACGCTGAGTGAACTGGTCGAAAATATCCTAACTGTACAATAACACTGAAACACAAAAATTCATAAGACACATAGTATATATCAGTCATTAGATGAGAAGGATGTGGAGTTCATAGACAGAAAAGACAGTCAAGTGAGAGATATAATTCACCAAATACACCTGACCCGAGAACCTTAAGTGAAGCCCAACGAGTCAGTCAACACATGTACCATAAAGCCCATCAGGCCTCAAGAGTCTCCTGGTCGGGCAAATTCCTCTTGGTGGCGAAGACGGAACAATCTGGCGGAGCGTTGGTGATGCCTTTCGTCTTAAACACAACGGGGTCATCAGTGAGGCGCCAGGAGAAGCGGTGAACCAGAGTCGTGAAGAAGAGGAAGAGCTGTAGACGAGCTAGAGACTCCCCTAGACACACGCGCTTACCTGAAGGGTCGTGATAGGTGGGAGAGTTATTGTCACAGTTAGGTGAAGTACGACACCCGTTTTCCTTGCTTGTTTATCAATCCAATTCTCACTCACAAATGGTATTTTTGTTCTATCTATCTATCTATCTATGTTTCTAATCGTCTTTTAAAGTACTCTCTCTCTCTCTCTGTTGACCTGTAAAATCAGTATTGAATTTATAAACTTCAAATACATTAATAGTTTAAAATTGACACGTGTGTGTGTGTGTGTGTGGCGTAGTAGTCAGCAGGGTGAAACTATACAATATAAGCAAATTTTTTAAGCCAATTGCCTCTGTCTACTCAGCAGTAATTGGGAACTTGGAAGTTAATCAATTTATGGATCGTGTTCCAGTGTGATGGTTAGCCAGTGCATTTGGCGAGTTGTCCAGTCTTCTTGAATTAATCCATAATACTGGTTATAGAGCTCATTAACTTAGGGTGTGATTGTCGTGTTGACCATAGCTTCTATACGTATACCTACCCTATACCAAAGTGTCAATACCATAGTGCCAAGCCAGGGTTAGTACCACTGACCTGTACCGAAGGGCAGGAAGTACTCATGCTTTCGCAGGGTGCCTTCGGGTGTAAGGAAGTGCTGAGGATAGAACTTGTCCGGGAACTGCCAGAGGTCCGGGTTCCTCAGACACCAAGTCATGTTGACAAAGACGACGGTACCTGTGTGGTGATCCCAGCGTGCATCATCACAGTCTGTCTCTATCTATCTCTATTTGTCCAGGCGAATATATACCAATCTGTATTCTTATATATATATATATATATATATATATATATATCTTTCTGTCAATTATTGAATCTATCAAATAATTAGACAATTAATTGATCGATAAATTCAAATGCTGTAATAATTTATTATCCAATCAATAAACAATAATAGCCCTTACTCTTGGGTATGGTGTGACCTTGTAGGGTAGTGGTCTGGTTGGTCAGGCGAGGAACACCGAGGGGAAAGATGTCGGCCACTCTCTGCACCTCGTATATGGTGGCCATCGTGTAGGGTACACTGAAGAATAGAGGGATGGAGATGGTAATAATCAGTAGTTATACACTATACAGCCATACATGTTTGGGTTAACAAGAATGGGTACATGGGGCAAATAACTTATTTACCTGTGGAGAAGTATTTAACATCCCTGACCCAATTCTCTCGAGAAACTGAGCTGGCAGCTTTGATATTAGAGAGCATCGTGGTTTATTTTCCGTTTGATTTAGTAAGATGCCATTTTGATGGTTTTATGGTAGTTGCTGTATACTGGTCTGACAATTTTTTTTATATGTTTTTCTTTTCACCTCTATGACCAGATTCAATGTGGAATCCATGGATTATGTTCATTTCAGAATCCTTTGTTGTCATTACTTTTGGCAACTTTATATGCTGCAGCAAGAAAAATCATTGCAAACTTTGTTGTATGTGATATTCCTCTCTGGGCAGCTTTTGTCCAGTCTTCACAAAGTGTTGCAACCATCCAACTCCATGTTGCCTTTCCTATCACAATAAACGAGATTATCACATAGGAGGCACTATAAGAACTGACTGGGGGTGGTAGTGGTTAAAAATAAGTGACAGGGATGAAGAAGGTTCAGTGGAATGGTAATAGGCATGGATAGAAGTGAGTTGTAGGAGTAGAAAAAGGTGCCGTGGCTTAACACGGCAGCATGGACTGAGGGTCTACGACATTCTGTTATTTATATAGTCCCTGCCACCCCTGCCACCCACAACTTTAGTTGTAGGAAACTTATAATCTCTTATACACGATGTTGCCCATGTGTACATAAACTAGGCAGCTAATTTGTCCAATTCACGAACTGGGCTGTCAAATTGCTGAACTCTAAGACTACGACTACAGCGTTGGAGTCGCCAACGTATTCATCATCACCGTATCCACGATATCCCACAACTCAGCCCTGCACCACCGATGTCACACAACTGCCTCATCCTCCTCTCAGGATTCCTCTCAACCTCCGGACACCAAGGACTCCAACACTGCTTCACCAAGTGTCCCACAACTTCAACATCCCGGCAACGTTACACACTCCAACAAGGCGTTCATTAGTATTACATGGTGATTTATCTGATACATAATTAGTAAGTCTCACACAATTTGTCTTAATTATAATTGTTTCTTGAGCATAGTAACATGATACAAAGTTCATAACTCTATTAATCTTAACTTTGCTTCACTCTGCATTGTCTTATTACTCCAAGTTAGGCAAAAACGAGTAGACGTAATTAGTCAATAATATTTCAGTACCGAGGGGTATGTCTTCATTTACTGTACTTACAAATGCGGGTCAATGCAGATCAGTATGGTGTTCCAAGAGACAACAGTACTGTGTAAATTGTCTCAGCACAAATTCTTGGACAGGATTGTGTGGTGTTTATCAGTGCGAGCAGGAGGCTGCTCCTTACAGCATCACTCGAGGGGAGGGCTGGTCCTCACAGCATCACTCGAGTGAGCGATCTCCTGAAGTCCAGGCAGCCACGCTACCCTTTTAAGCCATTCATTTAGCGGAATCAAGACCTCTTCTCCGTAAACACCGCCCACCCTCCAATCTTTGTTCGGGTAGGGCAGCAAACACCAGCACTCACACGCCAATACTCACTCGTCAGTACTGACGCCAGCGGTAATAACACTCCCGGGGTGCCAGGCGTCAACACTATTTGGCGCATCTGGCGAGGTCACAGGTCGCGTGGGGGGGTGATAAATTTAACCTAAAATAACTACAAAATGGAAAAATTCAACAAATCAAAAGTGAAAAACGATATATACAGTATGCTACATGTGGTGTTGCCAAAGAGAAACAGCTGAGACCCTGCAACTGTGTGTAGGTGAGGCAGAAAATCAAATCAGCAACCTGGGACTTGGTCACAATTTTTGTGATGTCATATGGCAGCAGGGTCTACCATTTACACACATCCACCAGACTACCTGCTCATATCCTGAAGCGTAAGGCTCTTCCCGCCGCCCATCACTCGGTCCAGCTCTTCCTGTACACGCTGCTGGATCTCTGGGTTAGAGGCCAAGAGGTAGATGGCCCAACCGAGGGTCGAGGATGTGGTATCACTCCCGCCAATGAAGAGCTCCACGACAATTGCCTTGAGATGGTGAACTGAAGGAGGGAGAGAGGTGGCAGGTAAGGTTTCGTAATTAACTCCCAAGTACACGTTAAAACTTTGGTCTTCGTCATAAAAGGTTTATAACTAAAATCATTGTCATTAGTGTGAAGAAGAGAATGGCTAACACCCTCCTCCTCAGACTTCTACCATCACTTACTGTGTAGAAGGGAATGGTTAACACACCCCTCCCCCTCCTCATCGCTCTCCTTCTCTTCTATCGCCGCCTTCATCTCCTGAAGGTAGGCGCCGACGAAGCTATTGCGGGAGACCTCACAGCCGGAGTTTAGCTTCTCCTGAAAGCTTTCAAGTTCTTCCTGTAAGGGCAATATGATTTGGAGTAGGACTTACTTTAATGTATACCAACTTAAAGTAGGACTTACTTTAATGTATACCAACTTAAAGTAGGACTTACTTTAATGTATACCAACTTAGAGTAGGACTTACTTAATTGTACACCAAGTTAGAGTAGGACTTACTTTAATGTACACCAACTTAGAATAGGACTTACTTTAATGTACATCAACTTAAAGTAGGACTTACTTTAATGTACACCAACTTAGAGTAGGACTTACTTTAATGTAGTCCAACTTAAAGTAGGACTTACTTTAATGTACACCAACTTAGAGTCGGGCTTACTTTAATAATGTACACCAACTTAAAGTAGGACTTACTTTAATGTACATCAACTTAGAGTAGGACTCACCTCAATAAATCCCAAGATGTCAACTATGTAGCCTTCTGTTATCTTAAAGATCTTGAGGTTAGGGAAGAACTTTCTGACCCACCGCCACCTGAGGAAGATGGTAATTAGTGGAAGACAGGTGAGAGAAGCTGACAGATAGACAAATGCGAGATATTAAGAGAGTGATCATCCCATCGTATATCAGTAAATTAAAAAATTAAAAATCATACAATCAGACGGAGCCGAAACCCCAAAAATGGAAAATCACAAAGCCAAAGCCCGCCATTTAAAATGTCATGAAGCCGAAGCCAGCTAATCAAAAGGTTTCAAAATCAAAACCGCAGCCAAGGCTTTTAAAACAGCGAAACCTTTACACCAAAACGTGTGTACGCATAATACTGTATTAACTTACATGTTAATGGGAACATCCATGATTTGTAAGTTGCAGTAAGGATTTGAGACAAGCTGACTTTAATTTAAGCCGATTGTTCTTGGGGTAAGTTTTGACTTACCCTATGGGCTAGTGCTTCCCAAACTGGAGGTCGCGAATTTGGTAGAGGGAGGGGGGGGGGGCGTGAGGGTATGGTAACAAGCAGAAGGGGGCGTCATGTGAAAAATTTGGGGAACCAGAACTACACTGAAAAGGGTAACAATTTATATTTATAAACATATTTTATCCATGTTTTATTTTATTTACTTAGCCATCACCATTCATTAAGTTATGCAAAACTCTACGAAACATGTAGAGGATATTATAACAAATCTTAAGGTTTTCAAAGTTGGGTCGGTCAGCCGGCATCTCTCAGGTCGGGAGATCATACCAGTGATGCTGAACGCATGTTCCACAGGAAGGCAGACGTGGTACTTGTCCAAAGTTTAGGTCAGGTCAGGTCATTGTGGGAATAGACCAATAGGAGGGATCAGCTGTGACGTCACAGGCTGCAGCATACTCCTGGACTCTCTTAGGTTAAGTCATTGTGAAAACAGAAAAGTCGGTGGGGCAGCTCAACTGTGACGTCACAGCCTGGTCAGTATGTCTGTGAAAAGAAGAAAGTCCGAGACCAGACCTGTGGCTTCGAAGGCAAAACCTTGAGAAAGTTTCGAAGCAGAAACTGAAGCCAAGTCCAAAAAGTCTGGCTTCCAGAAGCCGCAGCCAGCTTCAGCCCCATGTCTGCGTGCAACACAATATTTTAGGTGAGGAAACACAGTTATCGCTATTACCTGAAAGCTGGATGAAAAGGCTTGAAATTTTGCATCATCGAGGAGACCTTATTACTTAGTTTGACCAGTCTAGTGTCAGCCAGGGAGAACCTCTTGCCAGTTACGGTCGCCCATAACACGTTGATGATGCTCCTGTCGAACAGCGACTGCGGTAGATAACAGCACTTGAGAACAACAGATTATTGAGGGTCTACAGTATGATTAACAGCAACAGATGACTTGAATTATAACAGCTGACGATCAGATTAGACAAAAGAATAGATAACACACACACACACACACTCACCTTAACCTGCACCTTCTGCCCCTCCTGCAGCGTCAAGTCAGCCATCAGTTCTTCCAGTTCCTCTCTGATGATGGGCTCTAAACTCTGCTTCCCGAAGCCAAAGTCCTTCAAGGTCCTGAGAGTGAAGCGCCTCTGAGTCTTCCACGTGTCCCCATTGGTAGAGAGAATACCTGCAGGAGGCGCAGAAGAAAAAGGTGTTGGGTTAATACTTAAGGGATGTCCTGTTTGGTGGTCACAGCTGGTCTATCCTCTACTTTATTTTGGGTCTTAGATGGATAGATAGATAGATAGATAGATAGTGGTGACTGTATTCAAAATGCCGTGGAAATTTTCAGAGCCAGAAGTTATTAATAATAAAACTTACTGGAACGAGAACATAATTATGAATAATAGAATTTAAGAGGACGAGAACATGAAAAAAAAATTATCAGGGCAAAAACAACTGATCAGGCCAAGAACAGAACTGATCAGGCCAAGAACAGAACTGATCAGGGTAAGACGAAAACTGATCATGGTAAGACTATATCATGAACACATACGAAGAGCAGAACTAATCAAGACGGGCACATGAAAAAACAGAACTGACGACGTGTAAAAACATGAAGAGCAAGACTCATAGGCACTATACCAAGAGGTTCCTCGCTGCCTCCCGTGATCATTTCGTTTCTGATGAGGAAGAGCGGGAAGTTGGACCTGTCACTGAAGGCGTGGCTGCCCAGGGCCTCCTTGATGATGCTTGTGTCGTAAAGAATAATGCACCTGTAGGTGGATAAAATTACAACTTTGTGATTACCTGAAGAATCATTCTTTTTAGCTTATCTCATCTGAAGGTTTATTAACAATCTCAGCGCTAAACTAACCTTACCTAACTTTAAGCCTAAAGTTAGCCTAACCGAGACATTACCAGAGTTGTATACAGCCAGGTTATAGAAAGGTTCTGCAAAATGGCACGGTCACAAATATACGGCTAGTATGTTCAACACTTCATTATTCATATTATGCTCCACCGTCCACAAAATATGGGTGAAACTAATGAGTTATGCTATAACCTGTATGAGTAGCCATAAGTCAGATATACCTACTGTGACCCGAAGCATTCAAGAGCATTCAAGGTGTATTGAGTATATGTTGAAAGCTGCATCTATCTTTGTGTGTAATGTAAAAAGTGTTAAGACGATGTGTTTTGAGGGTCAAGCCGACTTCTGGAATCAATTTATGTTTCTCGTGACGTTACAGGATAGCAATTCAAAACTGAAGTTGCATTTCCTTGATCTGCAGACCTCAGAGAATCCGATGAGTGTATTGGAATTGTTGTCAATGTTGTATCTAAGATTCTCATTAATTTTGTTAGCATAACCTGTCGACTGTCGTAAAGTTTGAAGTGTAACTATCATATAAGATACTAAAACTAGACCTACCTGAAGAAAAAGAAAGAATCCTATGTGACTACCCCCAAAACAGGATAGCACTAAAATAACCTGTTATAGTACATCCTTCTTTCCTCACATTGCCAAACTGTCTCACTTCAAAAAGCTGGTTTTCCGGCATCTTCGTGGTGTAGGTTAATATAATCTTTTTCTTTTTTATTTCTTTTTACTCTCATTCTTCCGCCCCCCAGGCCCCGTTGTGGGTCGATGACCTGTGCCCGGATGGGCTATTCCCCGTAGAAAAAATAAGTATCTCCTAGTGTTGAGAGTAATAATAATTACTGTACACGAACAATCTTGTGACGGATGTTTGAGAAGTTCTATGAACTGTTTCTATAAGTAGCAATGTAATTGAAGTGGCTGACCAGTCTTTGTTACATGTCAATGTCATAGAATGTTATCAGTAACCCAGAGTACTTTTGACTGAACATTGGTCCTGTTGACCTGAATACTTGTTTGGCTGACGTGGAAGTGAGGCCAAGTGGTCTTTGGTGTTGTATCAGTATTTACGTAAATTTGGCCAAGTCTTGAGTGAACCTCAAGGATTAGTTTATAGGTGTATATTCTGACAGTATCCGGTATTCAACTTAATTTTAAATAAACTATCTTTATTGTATGTTGGGGGTGTCATTATCCCTACAGTATTTACCTTTGTTTCTTCTCCATTCCTTGATACCATTAAATACAAATAAACCCGTGTCCAGCCCTCGCCACGTTCCTACCACCCAACTGACCTGTTACTATCACAAGTTAAGAGATTAATGTTATATTTTACAGTATGTTCTGACAGAAAAACCTGGGAGGCATTGAAGATTGTCAAGTAACAAGGGGGTTCCCATTAGGTAAGCTCTAGATCAGAATATAACTAGATAAGAGACAAGTATATAAGAGAAAGGTAACAGAGAACAGAATATGCTTTGAGAAATGGAATTAGAAAAAAATAAAAGAAAACATAAAAAAATAAGATCGAACGGAAAACAGTATAAAGAAGACTAAGATAAACAAAGATAAAGAAAGAATAAAAAAAGGAATAATAAGAAATAAAGCAAAAGTAAGAGAAGTAAAATTTGTTCCCGTACAAAAACAACCACTTACCATGTATTGAACATCTTCATCCCGACAATATTACCAAACTTCTTCTGCCAATTTTGGAAGGCCTTGGTGGCGTCAGGCAGCATGAAGGGTATACTGCCCAGCACAGGTACTACGCCAGGCCCTTGTGTGGGAGAGAAACTGTTTACCTGATGACCCTATAACTGAATCAGCGTGAACTTGTATGACTAATTCACTGAATATCTATCTATATCCAGCTATCTATCTATCTATCTATCTATCTATCTATCTATCTATCTATATATATATATATATATATATATATATATATATATATATATATATATATATATATATATATATATATATATATATATATATATATTTATCTATGGTATAAACACGCGAGGAGGCAAAGGTGGAACAGTACATTAAAAGGTGGAAAACGAGCATGGGAAAAAGTAGAAAATGGAAAAACAAAGATGGGAATATGGTTTAACACAAACTATATCTGACAATTAGGTTAACGTTAGGTTAGGTTTGTGTTAAATTGGCGTTAGGTTAGGTTCGGTTAGTGGTAGGTTACGTTACGTTAGTTTACATTTGGGTGAAGTTAAATTAGCGTAAGGTTAGGTTCGGTTAGTGGTAGGTTACGTTACGTTAGTTTACATTTGGGTGAAGTTAAATTAACGTTAGATTAGATTAGGTAAGATTGAACTGATTACAGTACCATGTAAGGGTCGAATTACCTTACTGTTAACCAATGATAGTATACCTAAGTTGTCTAGGCATACTTGTATACAGTACATGTTGAACTGTATACCTGTTGTTTATATACAGTACATGCTGAACTGTATACCTGTGTTGTTTAAATACAGTACATGCTGAACTGTATACCTGTGTTGCTTATATACAGTACAGTATATGCATGCTGAAGCAATAAAAACTTGGTTGGCGATTTTACTAAATAAAACTGAACCCTATGCAGTAATTATGTTTTACCTTGAGCTGTCGTGGGACTTGTTGCATGACTCTTATTTGCATTGAGTCCCAGCCAACCCCTACCGACCTTTGGATAATGATATGCTGTCCATTTACCACAAAAGTTCTCGAACAGCTGGCTGGGCCTGACAGATTTCAAAATGAGCATTGTGGTTCGTGTCATTTCAAAATGGTTGGTATATATCTGGTTGCGAAGTGATACTCAGTATTTCGATTATTACGAAATACTGAGAATCACTTCGCAACCAGACATAAAGACGAGTAACATATAATGTAGCTAGTCTTTATGGTATTTACTGGTGAAAAGAAATAATTTAATTTGCAATAAAACTTCCTCAGAGAGCAATGTTCAGATATCTTGTTCATTTTGTGGCGAGTGTACACTGGGAGGAGGTAGTAGGTAGCTACCAAACAGGGAGGTACTACTGCCTGGGAAGATATTGGAAGCATAATGTGTTGTCTAATGGTAGGCCCTGCTGCCATATGGCATCACGAAAATTGTGACCAAGTCCCAAGGTTGCTGATCTGACTTTCTGCTTCATTTACACACAATTGCAGGGTCTCAATTGTTTCTCTTACCATTGGCAACACAACAGACATACTTGTATATCGTTTCTCACTTTTGATCTTTTTTCATTTTTGTATCTATAGTTCTTTATTATTAAAATTATTATTACAGTTACTGTATTATTATTATTTTATTTTTGTTTGTTTTATCATAAATTTTATTTATTATGAATTATTATGACAATTATTCATTATTATTAAATTTTCGCCCCCCAGGCCTCGATGTGGGTCAGCGACCTGTGTCCGGGTGGGCTAATCCCCGTAAAAAAATTTCATTGACCTCAATAAGTAGTCACACACACGTGGTGATAATGTACAGTAGATCTTGAATGTATATAAGGAACTCAGGTCAACAGATGAGATCTAAAACAAGGTTGGATCTATTTAAGTATTTGTCGGACAAAACAGTGTGCGCGTTTGGCTTATTCCCTTTAAATACAAGTACAGTTGCGGGGAGTGCGGCGGTCAAGTGGATACAGCCCTCCCTCCTGTTCTATGCATAGGTGGTTCATTCCACGGGTACTTCCAGTTAACCCAATTTACAACTTGGAGAAGTGAATGTGGTCGAGAGCAGTGCAAGCCATGCTGCCTCCTTGTGTACCAAAAGCTTAGTATACAGTGTGATGTATCCACATTGTCCTTAAAGGACAGGTATGCCTATAGGACCCACTTTCACTTTTCAGTTGCGGACTATATTATTTGTCATGTAAAGAGGCTATCACACTAGCCAAAATTCTGCATTATTCCTTAGAAAAACAGCGATACAGCCGTTCTCGGTCAAAATTTTCGCCTGAAAACTGACGAAAAGAGAAAGTACAGGAGTTCTCGGGCAACTTTTGACTACATTTCGAGTCCAATTGAGGTTTTATAACATGTATAATTGAAAAACATTGATTTATTAAAAAATAAATCCATATATTAAGAAACAAATTTTACTGATTTTAATGCATATATATATATATATATATATATATATATATATATATATATATATATATATATATATATATATATATATATATATATATATATACTGTATATACAGTATACTCACCAGGTGGGAATCCTGAAGGTTTGCGGCACATTCTCACCAACAGGATCACCAGAACAGTCACTAACAAGGTCACCGTCGACCACATTTCTGCACCACCACTACCAGTTAGACGAAGGCAATTACTATAGAATACGCTGCTATAGGCTATCCTCCAACCTTCTGTAGAAACAAATGAATACTGTATCGCCTTTATACTCGTGCATGTACTGTCTTCCAGCACCACCACCTCGGTATGCTCCTTCCCACAGTCAGGAGACGACTACGGGTAGTGAGTTGCCTAACCCTCCTTGAACGTAGATTGTCTTGCCATTATCTTATTAGTTACGATAACGAGTACCTATAAGGGTTATCTTGGGTGACTCGTGGTAGAATCGAGTGAGAATTGTGAACTCTTGGAACAATCTGCCAGTGTGTTGTGACCAAAGACTATTATTAGAAAGTCAAGAAAGCAAGGCGAAGACCGCATAAAGACACATTACTTTATAGTTGGCCGCGGGATCAACAGGTGGCGTTAGTGTGCAAGGCGCGGGCGTCACCATCATCCATGTGCTGAATACACCTGCACAAAAACAGATCACCCTGAGCTTGTGTTTCGCGTTTTCACGTTGCTATATATCATTGATCATATAGAATTTACTGGATGATATTGTATGTGTGTGTGTCGGTATGTATGTGTGTGCATGTGTACACATCACAGGGGCGTACCCAGAAATTGAGTAGGGGAGGTTCTAAATTACTGACAAGTCTGGCCAGCGTGAGTTTAGGTGAGTTCCTCCTCCGGCGATCAGAAAACAGATGATTGGTTATCACACTAGTCGTGCTGGTTCGCTGGCGAAAACTGCCGTGTGCCAATTCTTCAGTCCACGTATATATGGAGATCTGTATGATGACACCGGAATTCGTAATTCGCTCTGACGACACAACAATACTGCTCAGCTGCTAGTGAAATACCAATTGAAGACCAGGCTACGAAACTGTTGTTCAACACTGCAACACTGTAATGTCTAGGGAATGCTGAGTGGAGTCTATCTCAACCGGCTCAATCTGGATATGTACCAACAGGCTGTAATATTTGTATATTACGAATTCTGCACGTATTTGTATGTGACAGAGATAAGGAGCGCTCACTACATATCGTCTCAATACGGGATATAGTTTTAAACACTCGGATTATGTAACGCGTCACTGCTGTGTGGTTTCTTGTTTTTCACAAGACACAGACGGATGATACGACTACCAGTTTGAAGAATCCGTACACACCGCTTGCCACCTATATGAATCGGCTGCTTGTCCAATTAACCAGTCCGTTCACATATATTTATATTTGGGTTTTAAGTAACGAAACCCAAACGGTAGTTCCTTTGTTTTATTATAAAAGGTTGTATATATAATTCCTGAGTGTATATCAACCGTAAGTCTCACTGTCTAGGAGTGAATGAGAAAGGGACGGCGTTTATGTATGCTAAACGTTTGGTCACGTCCTTTCGATATGAGTTGAGGTGAGCTACTGAAGCTTAGGGGCATCGCAGTGCGTGCTTACAGAAATGCTGAGCTATGGGTCTCGCCCTCTTGAGTAAGTTGCCCGCTCACGTGTCAATCTCATGTCTTACTCATAGACAGTGGAAAGTTACAGGGTGGTGAATCTGAATATAATATCAGATGTATTGACCCATTTATATAATACGTTCTGTTGATGAGACAGGGGCCTATTACAATTTCGCGCCTAAATCTAAATTTGTCTAATTTAAAACA